GGGGCCATGTACTGTAAAATCTTGGACGAGAACCTCCTTCCCTCAGCCAGAACACTGAAGATGGGTAATGGATGGGTCTTCCAGCATGACAATGATCCGAAACATACCGCCAAGGCAACAAAGGAGTGGCTCAAGAAGAAGCACATTAAGGTCATGGAGTGGCCTAGCCAGTCTCCAGACCTCAATCCTATAGAAAATCTGTGGAGGGAGCTGAAACTTCGAGTTGCCAAATGACAGCCAAGAAAGCTTAAGGATTTAGAGAGGATCTGTAAAGAGGAGTGGATCAAAATCCCTCCTGAGATGTGTGCAAACCTGGTGACCAACTACAAAAAACGTCTTACCTCTGTGCTTGCCAACAAGTGTTTCTGCACCAAGTACTAAGTCATGTTTTGCTTGGGGATCAAATACTTATTTCACTCACTGAAATGCAAAACAATTTCTAACCTTTATATAATGTTTTTTCTGGATTTTGTGGTTGATATTGTCTCTATACATTAAAATAAACCTACGATAAAAATTACAGACCCTTCATTTCTTTGTTAAGTGGGCAAACTTACAAAATCAGCAGGGGATCAAAAAATATTTTCTCCACTGTAACTTGTGCTAAATATTATGAAAATTTTTTTTTTTTGCTGCAGTATAGGAGAAGGCACTGCATATAATATTTTTTGTATACAATACATTGCGAGCTTCAGAGCACACAGATGAAACTAGGTCATGTTATCTTATTTTCGGAGCCTGCTGTTTTGGAACACAGTTCTGGGGGTTAATTATAATGAAGCACTTTGACAAGACTTTGCTCAAGCATTTTAGAATTACAAAACTAGTTTCAGATGGTGTGAAATGAGATTGGTTGGTCCAGTTTTATGCTGTCCCATCGCAAATTCACATATCTTTTTTGATGCGCATTAAGGAATTTATTCAGTAAAAGTGTTTCCATCGTAGTTTATGCAAATATTTTCTTCCCGGATAAGAAATTAATCCTACCTAATAGAGCGCATACGTTTTTTTAATGCACATTTTTAGAATTTACACGCATCTTGGCGTTTCCATCCATCCATAAAACTAGGTGGATGACAACATAGCAAGTGACAAATCTGTCAACTGTCCCAAACATATTTTACGCTGGCCCCTGGCCATCGGGCAATCCTTATTGTCGAGCCCTGTCTTGGATGGCCTGAGAGTGAGTAAATTTTTAGCAAATTTTCATTATTGGGTCATTTACTCCTAATAATAATTAATGTTAATGCAAAGCATCATGGGAGGATGACATACACAAGTCTCTGGTGATGACCGATAACGGGACGTCAGGCAGCACCTCTTTCACCTGCTGCGCCATACGTGCTACTCGTGTGTCTTCAGCTCCTGCATTTGTGCCCAGGAAACCCTGTGCCACTGTGCGAGGTCTGGCACTTAAATCTGAAGACAAAAATAGTTTCATGTTACACTACAAGACATAATACATCTACTATACAGATTCAGTGATCTAACTTAATGGATATATACATCATAATTTCTTTCTCACCATTGAATCCATTCTTACTTGAATGTGCAGTCTGAGCGGCAGTGTGTCTTTTCCTTTTGATGTGCTCGGCTTTGTCTGCTTTAGTGATCTGTGTGGAGATCACGCCCAGCTCGGTGGCCAGCAGCTGATGAAGGGACACAATGAAACGACACACCAAAACAAGTCAAAGCTTTGAACTGGACAAGATATAGATCTGAAGGTTAGGCAGATGAAAAGCCATGTCAGCGGACAATAAGATAATGGTTTGTTTGAACATGTTCTTAATGGCAATTCAACTAAGTATGACATTACTGGAAAATGTTTTCAAATCGAATCAGTTTCAAGGCAATTCAGAAAGAGTTTGCTGCTACAGAAGCATGACTCGCAGATTTTTGAACAGGCTATAAGCAGAGGATCTGTAAATGCATTTACGTGCATTTCAAATGTTTCAGTAGGACTAATGCAATAATTCTTGTAAGAACGATTTAGTCCAACTGAAATCACAACAGTCTGTTTTTTGTAAAAATCTGACTAACAGACCTACACTACCATTCAAAAGTTTGGGGTCAGGAAGATTTTTTAAAATGTTTTTGAAGGTGTCTTTTATGCTCACCAAGGCTGCATTTATTTTATCAAAAATACAGTAAAAACAGTAATATTGTGAAATATTTTTACAATGTAAAATGAATGTTTTGAATTTTAATGTATTTTAAATTTTCTTGAATTTTAATGTCATTTACTTCTGAGATGTCAAAGCTGAATTTTCAGCATCATTACTCCAGTCTTCAGTGTCACATAATCCTTCAAAAATCATTCTAATATGCTGAAGTGCTGCTCAAGAAACATTTCTTATTATTATCATTGTGTAATAGGGAATGTGTGTAATATTTTTTGTGGACACTTTTGTGATACTTTTTTCAGGATTCTTTGTTCAAAAGAACAGCATTTATTTAAAAAAGAAATCTTTTGTAACATTATAGATATTTAATGACACTTTTTTATCAATTATGCATTCTTGATCAAGGTTGAAAAAAATCAAAAACGTCTGAATGATAATGTAAATATGACGGTAGCTCGGCTTCGTCTAGTATTTATACATGTTAATCAGACTAAAGCCCCGTTCACACCAAGAACGATAACTATAAAGATAACGATATTAGCGTGCACACCAGCGAACGATATCGTCTGTTTACTCTAAGCGCACATGCGTCTGCCGTTTTAAATTCTTGAGCTCGTTACAGCAGGATGGATTCTGATTGGCTGTCAGTGTTTTATCGTTCATCAGCTGGAAAAAAAAATCGTTTTGAAAATGACCACAATGATAGCGTTCCTCTGTATCGTTATCGTTATAGTTGTGGTGTGAACTATGCTATTCTTTAATATTGAGAATGATTTTTAGAACAATATCGTTATCTTTATAGTTATCATCCTTGGTGTGAACGGGCCTTTAGTTATTTTAGTACATCAAGTTAAACAAAATGAGAAATGTTGATGAAACTAGATGAAATAAAATAAGTTAAGTGTTAAGTGTTTATTGGATTTTATTTAATTTAACTTCAATTTCAAATAATGAATAATGTTTTTTTTTGTTTTTTTTTATAGTTAACTATAATAGCTCTGCAAATGATATGAGCTGAGTGTTTTATCGTTCATCAGCTGGAAAAAAATATTTTTGAAAGTGATCACAACGATATCGTTCCTCTGTATCGTTATAGTTGTGGTGTGAACTATGCTATTCTTTAATATTGAGAACAATTTTTAGAACTATATCTTTATCGTTATCTTTATAGTTATCGTGCTTGGTGTGAACGGGCCTTGACTACAATCACTGCACATTGCAACACTTTTTTGTTTAAATAAAAACAATCATGGCAAATTGCCACCATACGACATCTGATGGAGAAAAAAATACACAGAATGCAACACAAGAAGATAGAAAGAAAAGTGTTAAACCTCTTGTACTTTGCTGGCAAATTCTTGATGGGATTCACCATCTTCTTTAGACAGTGGTGGAAGCCATCTGGTTGAGAGCATTTCAAAACAATTACACCTTACATTTTTGTACAGAGATCTATTCAGAAAGACGCAATGCTTCTGAGTCTTCCTTTATTCACTCAACATTTACAACATTAAACATTGTCATTAAATATTAGTATCAATTTTTAAACGTCAACATTATATAAAACTAAATATTTGCAATGGTGTTAAAGTATTTACTAACCAAATATTCAAAAGGGACAGTAATGAAGTTAATATATTTAGCAACAGGCAAGTATGCACAAAAATTCAGGACTAAATCTGAAACTGTCAATCTTATAAGCTGCATGCCCAAGACTCTTAAGGATATTAAATACTAAAAAGCTTCATTATTGTCGTATTACCAGTGCTGGCCTGTCGAGAGCAGCAATAGAGGATTGTACATTTAAAACACTGCCACTGGACAAAGGAGAGACTGTAATATGTAGTACCTTACATGGTACACTGTGAACGGTGCAAAAAAGGTCCACAGCAGCTCTGTCAGCCATGAGGATTCTGGTGTGTTCTGAAAAAAAAAGAAACCAAGAAAGACCTTTTATATCATCCCAGATGTTAAGTGTTTAACAGAACACAGTTACAGGTGCATCTCAATAAATTAGAATGTCATGGAAAAGTTGTTGATGATTTGACACTTATTATATACACATACTTTCACTTTCACAATGCAATCTCCCTTTCCAGTTGACAGAGATCATTTACAGAGCTTCTAAATTAGGTCATTCAGAAACTGTCCGGGAATAACCATCACAACCATAAGCACATTAACATATGACCACCCCATTTACACAAAACACTTATATACAGTATTGAGCATCACGCCCCATGCCATCCTGAACAACAGTGCGAGCTGCACCAGCTGTTTTCACATGCAAAAAGGTAAGCAAATCTTAACAGAGGTCATTTAAATATATAAGACTTAAAGCTACAGAAGTGTGTTTAACCTCTAAATAGCCAAACAGGTTGAAAATGGTCAGTCAAAAATAAAATAAGGAATATCTTCGATGCAAGAAAGCCTGGTATCAAATAAAAAGCTAAAAACTGTAGAATATGACTACTGTTGTACTATACAATAACATAAAAACCAAGCGATGACATGACAAACAAAACCAATCAAATGACTTTGATCAGACAATTAATTTTTCCAGTTTAATGGCATTAAAAATATTTAATGCAGTTAACGCATGGGCAGAGCTAGGGTTGGCCACCCTACTCACAGCTGCTGTTTCTGTCTCTTTTTTCTTGACTATAATTGTGTTTATTTAAACGCAGAACATTTTTACAACCACATCAAACGGGAGACTTTTCAGACGCGCACTCCACTTCGCCTCAGCGTCAGGCAGTAGTCAAATGAGCACGGAAACGGTACAGATAACGAGGGAGCTTGAGTAGAACAACAATGAACTGCAGTCAGATGAGATGTTGTGATGGCCATACATAAAAAAAAATAATAAATTCTGTCCTGTCAGCCGTTAATACTGTGCTCGTAGTGCGTGCTCTTCAACTGTACACACAAATACTGCGACGCGTGCTGTAGTCTGTTTCATTTCATATTAAAGCACGAATTAAACTACGAGCATACGTGTCAGATCCGCATCACGTTTAGCAGTGGCAGCTCTTAAAGTAATAGCAGCCAAATAACCTAATAACCCAGCTGCTTTGATGTCTGTTAATCAAAGAAAAAAGAGGATATCAATAACTTTTGTAGCTTTAAGAATTCATCTATATTTAATTTTGAATTTAGTGTTTGATAAATTTATTCAATTTCTGTACATTTCCTACTTGCTGAAGTGCACAGGTAGCTAAATATGACATTTATTATAATGGGTTTATGTGAAGATTGTTTTAAGTTTGCTTAAATTAGAATTTGTTATTTTTTTAAGTCTAATAAATATTAAAATTGATCGCTCTCAATTACACTGTAATGGTGTATGGCTACAGTAAAATATTAGGAGGAAAAACAATTTCATAGAGACATCAGTAGTATTGGTATCAATAATACTCGCCTTCAGTCATAAAAAAGATGGCATTAAACAAATATAGAAAATATAGTGTCTTAATGTTATTTCTACATTACTTTGAAGATCGAATGTGAAATTATCGCAATATAAAAGTATATTTAAAAACGTTAACATTAGGTGGGATTAATCACGATTAATTTCTGAAAAAAAATTTGTGATTTTTTTAAGCGATTGACAGCACTAAAAATATATAACAAAAATCGAACACATAAAAATAATTAAAATGTAGGGAAAAGTGTAGGCATGTAACAAGAGAAACTAAGAATCTTCCAAATAATATGTTACACGAGTATAATATTAGTTTTTTTTCACTGCATAAACTGGATCACACATATATTTCAAATTTTGCCTTGTAAGGGTGGTTTCACCACTGTAGAGAAACCACCCTTACACCTTTTAAATTTTAATATGGCCATAACATATGTGGCATCTAAAAGACTGAAAACCCTGATGCAATACAGCAGCTGAGGGAATGGATCGTAAACATACTCCAATGTTGACCCAACAATAAATAAACCCATTTTGCAATGCTGTAATGGGAGCAAGAGATCACTATGAGCCGATGTGTCGACATTTGACAATCCGTCTGTCTATTGCACTGTGAATCACTTATTATCAGTGCTGCTATAAATATCCTCATGTGCCACACTCTCACAAAGACCCTCTCTTGTGTGCTTTAACAGGAACTTGAGGATGAAAAAAGATATGGAAACTCTAGACACGATTGTTCAGTCACATTTAAATGCCTGGGCGGATGGTTTTTACAGCGAAGCGATTTACAGAAATGACAAGAGCAGCAATGACATAAAAACTACAGGTTGGATTACATACACATTCAGAACAATCAGTTTTTTGTTGTAATGTTTGAGAATTTAAAAGGGTTACAAGAAAAATACCTGGCAACCGCAAAGGGCACATCCATAATGACCAATCATTTGACAACAGTGGATTACAAAAGAGGTTTTGAATGTAATTACCACAGCTATGAAAGGCCTCTTCACCAGCAATGCCACAGGCTGGATGGTGTCAGACACAGCGAAAGGCCAAGAGCTGAGGAGAGAGTATAAGTTGGTCTTTTAAAAATGGCGTCTTTCTTAAAGAGAAAGGAAATGTTGTCATCTAAAAGCTAATGGCAAAGTGGGTGTCAGCTGATGTACAGGCAGTAAAGTATAAATCTGAGGATCAGTAAAGCCTGATCACATCTTAGACCCGTCAAGGAAGCTTAGAGAGGACCTGGCAACCCTCCCAGAACAGATCCACATTTAATCACCAGAGATTTACCAAGAGCCCTTACTTACCAAACATTATTTATATCAGGCACCTGATTGTCTATGCACAGTATGGTCACATTTAAAACCAGATGAGATATGACAAACAGTATACAGGGTATTTTTACATTAAATGAATGACTGGTTGGTTAAATGAATGACTTGTTTGATATCTTTTAGTAATATTACTGTTACATATAGTAAGTGAAGCATTTAAAAAGACAGTTCATATAGTTTATTAGTACATTACACACACACATACACACACACATATACAATATATATATATATATATATATATTTATATATATATGCTGTCAATTGATTAAAATATTTAGTCGCGATTAATCACGATTGTCATGAGTTAACTTGTGATTAATCGCTTAATTAATCACAATCGCTTTTAACTTAATCGCACATTTTTATCCGTTCTAAATGTACCTTAAATGAATACTTTTCAAGTTTTTAATACTCTAATCAACATGGGCAAGGACAAATATGGATGCTTTATGCAAATGTATGTTTATTATTAGTGAAACCATAGTTAACATATAGATCACGAAGCCTAGACATGTTTCATAGGTCATAGATGTTTTTCAAAGAACTTGTTCATGTCTATTAGACACATGAAAAAAGAACATAGAAATACCAGGTTCCCATTACTTCTCTTTCTTTGCACTGAGCAATTTACTTACACAAGCCTGTTTACATTTTCGCAGGACAGGGCAGCTCACTTCTTCTGAACATGCAAAATGTACATTTATTATTTATTATTACATTTGTTTGCCTTTCTGTGCCCACATACTGTATTTTGATGAAGCTAAATTCTCAATAAATCTGTTTTCATTTATATATTTTACTGTTTCTGTTGTCAGACAACGGAATGAATATGAAATAGTGACTGAAATGCGACTCATTAAGACTACATAACCAGCTCTCCCTTCCAAGATGTTAATCTGCACAAAAATCCTGATTTATAATCAAGCCGTCGTCTGATCAATTCAAATAGGCTACACATAAGATAAAGACAATAGCTGTGCTGTGATTTCGGCTATACTTGCATGTAAAATTAGAGAAGCAACATAATATCTGTTTTAACTGAAAGCAATGCTCCTCTCCGCCGCTCGCTGAACAGAGCAGACGCAGAGAGAGGTGTGTGCACAGTGGGAAAGAGAGACCTCACGCTCACGCGGCAGTACTGGCGAGTCTCAGAAACTAAATAAGGTTTGGGCAAACCCTAAAGATTTGTCGTTAGGTGCTTTTTTGAAAAGAAAAAAAAAGTTGCTAAAGGGGTCTGAAAAGTTGCTAAATCTGAATCGCTACGTTGGCAACACTGCATCTCCAATTCTCCAACTACGTGTTAGGCCACGGGTCAAACAGAAAATGCATGCTGCGTTAACCGTATATATATAAGGGCTGTCAGTCGATTAAAATTTTTAATATAATTAATTACATGATGTGTCGATTAATTAATCTAATTAATCGCAAATTACATTTGGCTGTGAAAATACACCCAAACCATTATTTTTTATGCAAATGTATGTTTATTATTAGTGAAACCATAGTTAACATATAGATCACGAAGCCTAGACATGTTTCATAGGTCATAGATGTTTTTCAAAGAACTTGTTCATGTCTATTAGACACATGAAAAAAGAACATAGAAATACCAGGTTCCCATTACTTCTCTTTCTTTGCACTGAGCAATTTACTTACACAAGCCTGTTTACATTTTCGCAGGACAGGGCAGCTCACTTCTTCTGAACATGCAAAATGTACATTTATTATTTATTATTACATTTGTTTGCCTTTCTGTGCCCACATACTGTATTTTGATGAAGCTAAATTCTCAATAAATCTGTTTTCATTTATATATTTTACTGTTTCTGTTGTCAGACAACGGAATGAATATGAAATAGTGACTGAAATGCGACTCATTAAGACTACATAACCAGCTCTCCCTTCCAAGATGTTAATCTGCACAAAAATCCTGATTTATAATCAAGCCGTCGTCTGATCAATTCAAATAGGCTACACATAAGATAAAGACAATAGCTGTGCTGTGATTTCGGCTATACTTGCATGTAAAATTAGAGAAGCAACATAATATCTGTTTTAACTGAAAGCAATGCTCCTCTCCGCCGCTCGCTGAACAGAGCAGACGCAGAGAGAGGTGTGTGCACAGTGGGAAAGAGAGACCTCACGCTCACGCGGCAGTACTGGCGAGTCTCAGAAACTAAATAAGGTTTGGGCAAACCCTAAAGATTTGTCGTTAGGTGCTTTTTTGAAAAGAAAAAAAAAGTTGCTAAAGGGGTCTGAAAAGTTGCTAAATCTGAATCGCTACGTTGGCAACACTGCATCTCCAATTCTCCAACTACGTGTTAGGCCACGGGTCAAACAGAAAATGCATGCTGCGTTAACCGTATATATATAAGGGCTGTCAGTTGATTAAAATTTTTAATATAATTAATTACATGATGTGTCGATTAATTAATCTAATTAATCGCAAATTACATTTGGCTGTGAAAATACACCCAAACCATTATTTAATGCTATTTTTGTGAAAGTATTAAGTAGACATTATAAATAGTAGCTTTAGAAAGGAATATTTTATTTGATTCAACATAAACTATGGAACATAAAAGAAGATAATTTGAGCAATATTTTTTTTTTCGTTAATGCAGTGGAAGTCATTGGTAACCATTACCAACAGTCTTCAAAATACCTTCTTTTATGTTCCACAAAAGAAGTAAGTTATTCAGGTTTGAGTAAATGATGGCATAATTAAAGATTTTTGGGTGAACTATTCCTTAAAGTCCCCCCATTTTTTCCTTTTTTTTTTTAAAGGGGTCATATGATGCGATTTCAATTTTTCTTTTCTCTTTGGAGTGTTACAAGCTCTTGGTGCATAAAGAAGATCTGTAAAGTTGCAAAGACTGAAGTCTCAAATCCAAAGAGATATTCTTTACAAAAGTTACGAGTCAGCCATGCCTACCTAAAATGGCTCGTTCTAACAAGCCCCCACACATATCAACGTCACGATGTGGGAAGATTTGCATAAAGCCGCCCAAATGTTCACGCAAAGAAAGAAGGCGTAACTTTTATTCTCGCTGTAGTATTGTTGCCGCCGCCATGTCGTGAAGGCACTGTGTGATTCGTTGTGAAAGCGAAACTACTTTG